TATAAACTAAGGGAACTATGGATCAGAAAGTGCTTTTCCCAGCTAGGCGGGTTTGTTGGAAGCAAACCTCTGATTCTATCACGACGGGTGAAAACTGCCAACTTTGAAGTCATTTCCTTGGGAGCAGCGATGTGAGTACAGGAGCTGCAAGCCTTCGGGGTGGAGAAGGCAGACACGAGCGAATTAATTTGCCTTTGGAGATTCCCCTTGATTACAGATAACCTGTATGCATTGCAAAATACAGAAAACTACGGAGAAAATACAAACTACCTATTACTCCAGCCACCTAGAAGTTAATGCTATTTTTTTTTTTTTTTTTTTTTTTTTGGTTTTTCTCCGGTACCGGGAACCGAACTCACGACCTTGCGCTTGCCAGGCAGGCGCTTTTTTGCCACTGAGCTAAATTCCCAGCCCCGAAGTTAATGCTATTAAGGCTTAGTTTTTTATTTTGATTAGTATCTGTTTGCAGCATGATTGCATTCATCATGGGGAACTGGTGTATAACACACCTCAGTTCTTTTTACGTGTCCTCCCTGCTTCCCTTGGTTCCCTGTATTCCTTCTTTTGCTCCAGGTATATTGTGTTTTAAAATGGGTGCATCTTACTCAAATTTTGTTGTTGCTTGCTTCTTCTCTTAATATGTCCTGAATCTTTTGATAGTAGTAGCCTTGCTTTGGGTGATGGTGTGCATTTAAACTAAGCTTGAGAGTAGGAGTTCCATAAATAATGCACACTAGGAAAATATTTGTTCTCCTAGCATGAATTATATATCTGGTCCCTCCCACTCAGAATTTGGGAGAGAGTTGATGGGGGTAGAGGGCATTTGAGTTAAGCAATCCTGGGAAATGGATCCAATTAAGTTGCAGTCTACCCTGAAGGATTCCAAGGAGTTCCACTCTTTCGCAGAATGAATGAGAAGTAGAGGAAGGAAGGGGACTAGAAAAGGCAGTGTGAATAATTTCAGCAATAAACTTGAAACTCTCAGCTACTTCATGCTTCGCATGAATCAGAACCTCTGGTTACTGGGGAACCTCTTAGAAGTTGCTGTATCTTCTGAAAACCTCCTGTGTTTGGAGCTTGGATCATGGGGGCACTGTGCTCACTGGTGGATTTATGCATTGGTGAGTTTAGAGGCTGAGGGTGCCGTTAGGAGGCAGGGCCTGGTTAGAAGAGACGGGCCGCTGGGGGTGTGACCTGGAGGGTCATCTCCTTCCCTGGCTGCTGGCTTCTCTCGGCTTCCTGGCTGCCATGACATGAGTAGATTTCCTCCCCATGATTTCCACCATCCCCTTCCTGCCTCAGGGCCAGCTAACTATGGATTGAAACCTCTAAAACCCTGAGCTAAATTGAACCTCTCCTCCTTTAAACTGTGGGTGTCAGGTATTGTGTCTCGGCGAGGAGAAAAATACTGAGACAGTGATGGGTTTGAGTCCACACCCAGGAGATACAGCTTGGGGGTTATCAGCCTGGGCAGTGCTCCACCCTCCTCTGTGTACTAGCAGTGTGACCCTGGGAAAGTCACTTGATCTCTTAGGTCTCAGTTTCCTCACCTGTACAATGGCAACCATATTGGTACTGTCTTTATGCTCACTCTAAGGACTGAGTGAAGTCATCTCTGTCAGGTGTCCCATTGGGCTGACACTTGGTAAATACAGTAAGTATTCTTCATAGTTACTGCTAATGCTGCTATCATTTTACCACACTGAATGCCAGGACGCTTTAAACCATCATTTCAAAGTAAGATAAACTGGGTGGACCAGAGCTCAGTATCTGAGTATTGAGCTGTGTGGAAATATATTTAGAAATGCGAGAATTCTTAAAAGTAGAATTTCTCCATTAGTCACACATACATAAACTTTACTAGAATGTGGTATACTAGTAAAATAACCCTTAGTGAAGTAGTTACTGCTGAGCATCTTGTCTTGTTTGCATTATGTCTAAAGGGCTTCATGGATTATCTTATGTTATGGAGTCCAAGTGGCAACTTTCCACATTTTAACCTCTCTTAATCAAGATTTCTCTTACACTCAATAGTGTATCACTTTTATCAGAAAGTATGTGTTCTTTCTTAGTAGTACCTACAATAATACAATTTAAAATTGATGGCTTCCTAGATTTAATAAACTATGTTCATGTCTTTGTTCATTTTTAGGCTGCAGAGTCTTTGCCCTTTTTATAGTTATTTCTAGTAATTGGAAACACCAGTGTTCCCTAGAGGACCATTCATCAATATTTAACTGCAAATTTGCTTCCCAGCCTCAGATAGTTTTCTATAATCTAATCCATTTGGGGAAGAAAGCTCAAAATCTGTATTTCTGCCACTATTTAATTTTTTCCTGTGTTTTTTTTTTTTGTACTTTAATATTATAAAACAAACCACTATCAGGTATTAATTTTTTATATGTGTGCACTTTAAATAAAACTAGATGACATTCTTTTGTAATGCTAAACTGGTTGGTCTTCAGTGGCTCGTGGAATGTCAATGTGCGCGCACACACACGTATAATTTAAAAAGACTAATTATTTTCACTCATTAGGTCTCTTAAAGGGATTCAATTCAGTCTTATTGTTATATTAAAAATTATAAAATCGATTAAATAATAACATGATTCTTATTTCCTGCCTAGGATCTTAACAGTACTTTTTAACTTAATGTTACATTTATCCAGAATTGACATACAGTTATCCACTGCTAGGAAATTCCCATCAGATTATGAAGATTTCAAAATATCCCACCTTCCAAAAGAAAAATCACATTTTTTCCCACTGGGTGCTATTGTAAAATCTTCTAGAAGTTTGGAGGTTGTTGCTTAAACTATTTCTGTCTTTGAAAATTCAATGTTGGCTTCTGTCAATGCATTTACTTTAAAGATCTTTTATTTTGGTGACTAGAGAAGCAAATTTTGATTTGATCTATGGATTAAGTTATATATTTATGAGAGGTCAATGAATCTATAGCCTTTTGAGAACCTATGGTAATATTTTACAAAGTATTTAATAATGCCTTTTCTGAAACCAACTTTACTCTTTATCTGAAAACCTTTCAAAATTTGTGAAATATTTCATATATACTTTATGAATTTAACTTTAGTCCTTTACAGGAAATTTCTACTAAAAAACACATTAGTCATTGACTCATTCTTTTTGGTTGTCAAGGCATTAGCTAGTATTTAATTTAAACTTTTAATTATTTTTTATCAAGCAACTAGGATAATATCACAAAGAATTTGGGGCTTAGTTCCAAAGTCAATTGGCTCCCAATAAAATTACAGATTTTGTTTTTTGATTATGGAAGCAATACATAATCATTGTAAAACATTTCAAAATGTATAAAATATACACAGAGAAGGAAAAACTCAACCTTAAAAATAATCACTGTTGACATTTTGTGTGTCCTTACTGTCTTTTTACATTACATACATTTTAATACACACATTAGCAGGTACAACTATATGTGTATAGACATATATAATATAATCTTTTAGGGTTTTGTTTCCATTTTGCAGTGCTAGGGGTTGGATTCAGGTTCTCATACATGCTAGTTAACTGCTCCGCCACTGAGCTACACCCTTAACCCTTTTTAAAAATTTTCTTTTGAAAGTCTTGCTAAGTTGTCAAGGCTGGCCTTGAACTTGCAGTCTGCCTCACCTTTCAAGTAGCTAGGTTAACATGCATGTGCCACTGCATCCAGCGGTAATCTTACTTGTGTAGACACCAGACTATGCACACAGTTGAAAACCGCTCATCCACTGAGCTACACCCTCAACTGGCTCACCATCCTATCCTTCTATGGTTTGTGTAATAGTTCCTTTTATGGATGTAAGGAATTCATTCAACTATTTCCTGTTGTTGGACATCTATGTTGCTCTAAAATTTTTAGCATTATAAATTCATCAAGCATACAAGTTGCTACAGGTGAGGTCCTGAGAGAGAGGAACACAAGTGTAAAAGTGATAAGTTGGGGAACTACTGAGAGAGGTGATCCTGACACTGATGTGCCAAGTGGATTAGATAGCGAGCTCTGAATGAGAGACCACCCTTTGCGGAAGAACAAAGGAACAAAAGCAAACTTCGGGTCCCAGCCGTAGAAATGGAAGGGAGAGATCAATATGAGAACTACTGTGTTACAAACTTGGTGGGGCGTTGGCACAGGATGAATACTCCTGAGGTAGGAATCAGAGATCACTTCAAAGTTTGATTCTTGTGATGGGAAAAACTGGTGCCATCAACTGAAATTTCCAATTTGGAGGAGGGATTAGCAGTTGACTGTCGCCACTTAGCATGATCTTGATGGTCAGTTACACGGACCTGGAGCTTTAATAAACTCTCAGTGCTGGAGATGAAAACATGAGTCATAGATGGATTGAGAACGTCATGATGGGCCCATGGAATAATTGATACATTTGAGGGTGATTTGGCACAAGTGGAGCAAATAGGAACCAATTAAATTTCTAGGGATAACCTATGTTTTGTTGAGAAGAAGAGGAGTAAGAACCAGGGAAAGTAGAATAGGGAAGAAAAGAGAGTTAGCATTCCAGATAGATGTCACTGGGAGCCCAGGAAAGAAGAGCGTTTCCAGAATAAAACCCACAGTGTTAAGAGCCGCAGGCAGCTATGCCCAAGGAAGGCCTGTGAGAGGGTACCTGTAACCTTAGGACCCAAACAGAGCACCCGCCTCCCTAGTGCTATCACTCTAAGTCAAGTGGGGAGGCCTTGAGGAGCGGGTGAGAGGAAACCGCGCTTTCCATACTTCGGTTGTGGGGAAAAAAAGAAGAAGGAGGGTTGGGGAGAGGGACGTGAGCGTCTTCTTGTCCCCCTTCATATAACATCTCCTTCCCAGGCCCACAGACACCCTAGTAAGGCTGCCCAGGAAACCCGAAGAGTGAAGTCACGTGGGAAACCTGCTCGTTGGCCTGAAAGTTACTACTAAGCGCAAATCCTTTGTCTTTTTAGAACTTGCAAAGGAGTACTACATTCAAGGGGGGGAAATTCTCTTTCAGGCAACCGCTGAGGAAACTGAACCGAACACCCAAGAGGATGAAAGTGATGGCGAAAAAGCAAGAAAAGGGAATGCAGAGCTTGCTTCATCAGGTTTGTTTCCTAACAGACTAGTTTGAGGGTAAAACATGATAACTCTTGAGATACAATGAAGAGTCAAGAACTTTTTCCTCCCGAGTTACTGTGAGCAGTGTGCTAGTGCTGCCACCTGGAGGCTGCTGGGGGGAATTCTGACCATGATTCCCTGTTGCTATAAAAATAGCCCAGGCTTTTTGCTGCACAGATAACTGAGTGTCTTCTCTTGGAGATATGCCCGCTTCCTCTTGCAAGCATATCTCCATCATCATAAAAATTGCATTTCTCATACAAATAATTCTACAACTGAACGTCATCTTTTGACCCACTGTAACCACAATAGATAAGAGATACGTCAATAATATATCATAACAATAGATGCTGAAATGAGAAGGTTGGTGAATTATTTGAAAGAATAAAGTAATGCCACAAACCTGAATGGTAAATATGAATATGCTGTACCCATTTTTTAGAGAAGGATTGTTTATTCCCTAAATTCTTATTCCTCAATTTTTTGTGAAATTTTATCAGTATTTTTAAATATATTTCTTCTTTTGCTGACCATAAAACCTGTTTAATACCAAATTATTCTTTCATGGTGCTTTAAAATAAGTTAAATTTCAGTACTGAAAATAATAGCATTTTTGAAAAACTGTGCCTCCACATTTTGATATGCCCTCTTTCTGGTGACTTTTCCACTTTCTCTTCAGCAGACTGATTACTGATCAGAGAGCAGTTAGTTTTCATTGCATTATGTACATCTGTCCCCATCCTTAACACATTCCATGGAGAAATGTGATGTTAAAGAGGCACATTCAGACACAGAAGGGAGAGTCAGGCTGGTGCCAGTCCTGGGGACAGACATCATCTCTGTGTGTTCTCTTTTGTCACCTAGTGTTGTTCAGATGTAAACTGCAACTCTATTAATGACTTCTGCTCTTCTTCTTGGCTATTTAATGTGCTGTCATTGCTACTTGTTTTATACTATTGCGAAAGAGCTTGGAGAATTCCCACATTTTGGGCTTTTCTGTCATCACTGTAATCCGGCTTTTTACTGCTGGGGGTGGGCATGGACCATGAGGTGTGATCCAAAAGTACAGTGAATGTGTAAATTTCAAAAAGTTTAAATTTATTACAATGAAATATAATTGCCATTCATCCCTCTCAAAAAATTCCCCCTTCTTTCAAACACATGTACCCCATTGTTCTTTCCACTTTCTGAAGCAGTTCTGGATGTCATCTTTCGTAAGTGTCTATATGAGCTGTGATCAGAAATACCCAGTGAGCGCTGCGCTGAGGGCCATCCAGCAGGAAGGCAGGCTTGTAAAAGCATCACAGTGAGGCCTCGTCCACCTTACTCACTGGATCTTGCACTGTGCAGCTTCTATGTGATTTCTCTTCCTCAAAGTCAAAATGACCCCGAAAGGTAACCGCTTTGCATCAAGTCAGGGCATCCCGACAGCCACAGCAGCACAACTAAAGATGTAAAAGGACTCTTAGAACTGTTTCAGAAAGTGGCCCAAATGGTGGGATAAGTGTGTTCAAGTGAGGAGGAGCCGTGTTTTGAGAGGGGTAAAAGGCAGTGTGTCTCTTACTGTATTAAATTTTAAAAATTGAAACACTTGCCATAAGTTTTGATCACACCTCGTGGAGGCTCCTTGTGGCTTTGCAGGACAGTGGTCTTTTGTATGATTTCCTTTTTCTTTTTTCTGCTTCTGGATGTGACTCCCTTTCAGAGTCACAGCATTTTACGACAACTGTGACTCGATGCAGCCCGACCGTGGCCCTGGTGGAGTTCTCCTCCAACCCTCAGCTAAAGACCGATGTGCCAGAAGAGAAAGACCGGAAGAAACCAGAAAATGAGATGAGTGGAAAGGTGGAGTTGGTGCTGTCTCAAAAGGTGAAGTACACAGTGCAGCAAAGCAGTTGCCCCAAAAGCTAACGTGGCTTTGTGCTGGAACTGGCCGCAGCCAGCGCAGTTGTTAATAGTGAAGATTTATTTCTCTACTAATCTGTTTCCCAGCCTTTAATCTGTATTTCTTCCTAACACAAATGCACTACATGTTCACTGTAAAAATTTTAAATGTATAGAAAGATATGTAGAGACATATAAATATATAGTAAATATATCAAGTGTGTAATATATATAAATATATTTTTAAAGTATGCAAACACATAGCAAAAGAAAGAGAATAAGCCACTTTATTAGTGGTATTTGGTATATATTCTTTCAACATCTTTAAAAACTCATGTTGAAAACTTTCAATTTTGAAAAATTCAACCCATCTGAAGGAAAAGTGTAATATAAATATAAGTTGCAAAGCCTTACACTTAGGTTTTAGTTTGCAGTATGGCAACTTGCTTATTTATTTTTTAACCTGACAGTTTACTAAATATTTTATTCCCAATATTTACGTGCTTTTTAGCAATGACACTCCTGATGCCTTACATTTGCATAGCAAAAAGCTTAGAAAATTATTATCCTGATATAATGACTTTTAAACCCTTGTTTTTAGTAAATTTTGTTCGTGTTTAGAGTCTCGTCTCGTTTATGTTAGTTTGGTTTGTTTCCAGTTACTGAGTCTAAAAGTCTTCATCAGTTATCCCAGTGAGTCTCAGCCTTGGCTACCCTCTGAATTTAAAAACTGCCAGGCCCACTCTGAACGAAACAAATGAAAATCTCTGGAGACGGAGCCAAGGCATCTGTATTTTTAAAAAACTTCCATGTAATTCTGATGGACCGCAAGGAAGGAGACCCTCTGCCTTGTACAACCGGCACCCTGTATGTGGTGGTACTTCACTTAAAAGTCAAGCCTAAATTTGGACTTGACTTTAAAGTGAAAATTTTATTGTTTAGCTCCAGTTCATCCATCATTTATTCAGCCAGTAATTCACTGTTACCTACTGCATGCTGGGTACCATACTTGGGTACTAGATATTTAACAGAGGCTATGACATAGCCCCTGGCCTTATAGAACTGAGAGTGATGTGTTTTGGTAGATCCTTGAGAATTTCTTTTGCTTGGATGTTTTTTGGGTATTTCAGACCCCAGCTGTTCCCCACTGTTATCCATTGAAAATTAAAGAATAGTCTGGAGATTGGTAAAGGGGACTTAAACTGTAAGTCAGATAGTAAGTTAGTGGTGGTAGGATTTTAGCCAGTATTTATTATTCTTGAAAACTCATTCCTCGAATGTTGTTTTAATTGATCAAAATGAATACCATAAGCAAAACATATTCAGTGGCATTCCCCACGGTGTCCCCTCATTAGTATAAACTACCTCCAAACCACCAGTGTCCCATCTGCCCCACTATGGAAAATATTATTTTCAGGAGTCCTCATGTGTGTTGTTGGTTTGGTTTGGTTTGGTTCCAGTTCTATTCTGTTCTGTTTTGGGCCCTTTGGCCATCTGGTAAACATAATGGTCAAAATGACATTTTTAAACATAAAATAAAATACACAGGATTCCCAGGTTGTCCCTGGTATCAGGGGTTTTGAGTACTGTACATACAGCCACTGAATTGTGTTCTGAGGACTCCAGGTTAAGAAATTCTGCTAGTTGATGAGCAAACAGAATTTTGGTTTTTGAGGTAAGTACCTTTCTCACTTGCAACCCATGAATTTCTCCCCTTTCTCCCTTCCTTATAGCTAGTACTTAGATAAGGTGACCACAGTGGTTACAACAGCTTTTTTTCTCTGATTTCCCTTGAGGGTGTTACCTTTGTAAAACAAAGCTCCCACCAGTACAGGCTGACCTCTTTACATAGTGGTCATTCTGAGCGTTTCTGCTGACCTTTAACTGTTTCATATATAGCCAGGAATGATCTGAACCATGTTTTTGTAAACCTCACCAAAACGAAATGTACAAGAGGTTAAGATTTGATAGTTGCCAACTTTGGTAAGACTAGACCCTAGTTTAGTTGTATGTTTGACTGCACTTCATTTGGACATCTGGTTGACCTCAGTATGCTGGATGAGGAGATTCTATTTTCTTCAGGGTTCTTTTAGGGTTGAATATATTATTACTGTAGAAAAATCTATGCAGAAGAAATCCTAACATTAATTTGTCATGAGAACCAAATCACAGAGCAGCTTGTTATGAAATAAGTGTTCTATAGTCTCACTCACACTGAGATCATTAGCTATCACATTGATCAGTCAGGAACACAGTAACCAGCCAGAGAATGAAATCACAATATAGTCCTGAGAGAAGCTAAGAATATGGGAACTGATAGCAGCACCATGTTCTTTATTTACACCTGTGTTCAGAGCCTACTATTATTTAGACATTGTTTAAGTAAGTCTGGTAATCTGGTCTTTAGCAGTAGGTTGATCAGATGCAACACGCCCAGGGAGGAGCGATTCTAGAAAGGTCCATTAGATAAGGAGAAACAAAATTAAATGACAATAATAAGAAAAATCCATTTTACAAAGTAAACATAAGAATTGTTAAAGACTGTAATTTTAGAACTATTTATGATGAGAACAAGTAACCTAACAAGCCTCAAAACCTCTTGAAGGGCATTGTTTGATAATGGTTATTTATAATGCTTCTTTGTCAACAGGCAAAGTGTATTATCTTTAATACGCTTTGCATACATTTGTGGGGAGTTGAGTAGTATGTTCAGAATGATGTTCGTTAAAGGGAATATTACTTTAGTGTTTAGCACTTTACAGAGTAATAGTTTTTAAAGTCATTGTATGTGAAACATCTCATTTCCTGACATCATAAATTCAGTATTGTGCGGTACCAGAGAAAAATGTGTGACTAATCAGTAAGAAAACCACGGAGTGATATTTTATTCTGAAGATGGACATTTGTCTTCTGAGTGTAGAGAAAAATGGTGAACACATTATTATGCTCACTTGATTTCCTTGAAAAATTGAGCTCTCTGTTGTTATTGGAAAGCATAAATGGGCTTTAGGGAATGGGCAAAAATATACTATTTAAAAATTAAATGTTTGAGCTTATTTCTGTATTGGATCCTTACATTTTCTTTCACCTGTGCATTTATTAATAGACAGTGCTTACAATGTTTATGTCTGTTGCCCACGGTCCAGGTGGTAAAGCCAAAGTCCCCAGAACCAGAAGCAACTCTGATGTTTCCATGTCTGGACAAAATGCCTGAATCCAACCCACTGCATTTGCCAAATCTCAATTCTCAAGGTAAAGAGAAGGAAATATTTTATTTTATGTCCTGTTCTTTATTTTAAAGCATGGCTGCATCCTGCATGGCAATGTTCCTTTAGCCATGTTATTTGCCAGAGGCTATGAGGGCCGGAATAATAACGTCAAAGTGGAGAGCTGAGGCTGCATTCTCCATTTGACCAGATCAGCAGCCCCAGCTGCGGTGGCCTTTAGTCCACCTGGTGCTTTAGAAACCATAGGTCCAATATAAGTGGGTAAGACCTTAAACTTTTTAGTATTGGCTCTAAGCTGAAAAAGACAAATAATTGGTATGCTGCTATTGTTCTTTTTTTTTTTTTTTACTACTCTCTTTAAAATTAAAAAGACAAATAAAAAGGAAAAAAAATCAATTAAATTTTAAATAAGTTTTCTATCTTAATATTGTGCCAACTTTATTGTTAATTCTAGTCTTCATAGAATGTCTATTAATTTGACAGTAATTTGGGGGAAAATTCAGATTTTTACCTAGTAATTATTGGGTGTGCATGATCAGTACTGAGGAATAATTCACAGCATAGATTAAACATGTTACTAATAGGCAAAGTTTTTAACATTTCCAAAAATTTTTTACATTAGAAAGTATAATCCCTGTGAGGAAAGCCTGGGATACATAGTGAGTTCAAGGCCATCCTGCACTACAAAGTAAGACCCTGTTTCAAAACAACCAACCAAACAAAAAAGTATATGAAACATTAAAAAAAATACATCCTTGGTATGTACACTATATATTTACAAACACTAATACTGAGCACATACTTTAATGTGTTGCATATATTTGATATATTTTACTATCATGTATGAAGGGGTAACATCTAAAAATAGGGGAATTTAGAGTCTATAAAACAGCAGTGACCCCAAGTATCTTTTATGCCATGTATGGGTTATAATTTACTCTTTTACAAACTAAAAACCCAACTTTAATCACTTCATCCTAGTGCGAAACCCTGGTACCCACATGGCCAGAAAGGACCCTTAGGAATATAATGTGACTAGTAGAGGGAAGATTGGTCTTGAGAATTCTGCTATCCATAATTATTCTTCAATGCAGATATATTCTCAAGCTTTCTAGACACAAGTTCTCTATGTATGGAAACAGCTAGAATTTGGGAGGCAAGGACTGTAAACCTGATTGTTTTTTGTTTTGTTACTTTAAGTGTACCTCCCCCAGTACAGCTTGTAGATTTATCAGTCCAAGCAGAGAGAGGATGGTACAGACTCATCATGAATGGGGTTTATTACTTCCCATTGCAAGGTGGGCAGCTATTTGGGGTCACCATTGGCATAATCCCCTTTATGCAAAACAGGGAACACTTGGGAGGGAATGAGCTGGTACCTGTATGCACTGTCATTAGTTTCTTGATGTAGAAGCAAATCCAATACTATTCAAAGAATTTGTTTTAAATTTATTGATCCTGTGGTTGTGAAGGGAATTGACTAAAGTCTCACAGCTGGGCCAGCAGTGGGACATATTCAGACAGATTTTAATTCTATTTGTGTCTAGTACTTTGTAATTTTGTAGAGAAGGAAGATAGAGTGGGAGTAGATGTTTTATGCCATATTAGTTTTGTTGGCATATTTACACATTCCGTTACCTGCTGTAAATAGCATTTTGACTTGTGGAAATGTGCTGTTGAATTAAAGCACTTTATTTCATGCTCTACTGAAGTTGAATGATTAAAATATAAAATGTAGTAGCCCTAAAGCAGTGATGGCAAAGCTTTTAGAGCTTTCAATCATAATAAACAGCCTACTGCACCATGTGCTCCATAGGTTCACCACCAATGGCCCAGAGCATTTCAGAATTCTAAATCATCTAGTTCATAGCTGTATGATCTTACCCATCATATTCTTTCTAATGTCTAATTGTCACCTGTAAACTGGAAATGATAATTGTACCAAACTGTAGGAGTACTAGAAGCTTACGTGAAGTAATCTTTATAGTGTTTGACTTAGTATGCACCTGGCCCAGAACAAGTGCTGACAATGTAATCTCGTGATTATGGAATATTAACAACAGGAGAAATATAGAGCAAGGTACGATGCAGAAATAAACTCTTCTTAAAGGCTTTTATTTAACAAAGAATCTTTACTTTATAGAGACACGGCTATAAGCAGTAGTTTTCAAAGGCACATCTGTTTCCAGGCCCTGCGTGCTTGTCTGATTCTCTAGGTCCGGCAAGGAACAGAGTATCGTTGCAGTTCCAACAACTTCACAGGTGATACTGATCTGGCAGATCCAGAGCCCACCGTGAAAACCACTGACTTGTGCTACTTATTTAAATTGAGCTTACAGACCTCATTGATAGATATGAAAATAACAGTGCCTACCGTCAGGAAGCAAGAGGCCTCTAATAAACATTAATAATAATCAACATTAAATAGGGTGGGGATGGAAAGAAGTAATGAGTCTCTGCCTGGGTATAAAAGTCACTTTGCATTTAAGTGACTAATCTGTGGTCCAGCATCAAGTCTGAAGGAATCAGAGAGCTAGAATCAGAAATACTGAAGCCACACCTAGTAAATACTCTCTCCCCCAGAAAGTGATCACTCCTCTATTTCTGTAAGGCTGTTTACAGGCTGGTCATCCAGGCCATGAACATCTGAACATACACATGCATCAGTAGTCTTGAAACCTTCTGAAAACAATCATGAAATGCATTTAATGGTGACAGTTTCCTTTCCTCAACTCTCTCACTAGAGTAGAAAGATACCTCACCATTGTGTTTTAATTAAATATGTGCACAATTTAAAACCTGAAGTCTTTATTTGCACTGAGAACGATGAGTTAGCATGCATAGAATTTTTTTTTTTTTTTTTTTTTTTTTTGTTTTTCTCCGGTACCGGGAACCGAACTCACG